TTCCACATTCTCTGTATTTCAATGAGAAGGTCCTTGTATTTCAAGATATTCTCCGTTTCCTTCTTAATTACATTTCTTTATTATTATTACATCCCTAAACCTAACCTAACCTAACCTTCACTCAGACCCGAACCGAGAACACTTCGCGTTCGTGACCTCAGATCATGTAATGTCATCGCCTCCGAAACAAACAAATTTGTTCCATACAGGTTTCTTCATCCTTTCTTACTTCATTATATTTATTTAGTGTTCTGTCCATATGAACAGGATCCTTCCATCCTTTTCTCGGACTGGGACCTGTTCATATACGTTCTTGGCAGATGATCCAGAAGTGGTTTGCCATTGCCTTCTTCTGTGTGTGAATGGAGTAATTGTTGGGATGCCACGGAGGAAAACTCCGTGTTGCCTAGACCACGGCCTTGCCCAACACAAGTTATAAATTCGGGCACCGCCGGGAATCGAACCCGAGACCCCAGGATTACAAAGCCAGCGTTCTAACCGCTAGATACAGAAAATATCTTTAACGGGACTCAAACCCAGGACATATATTTCCGGGTTGTGACGTTTATTCCTGCGATCTTCCGTTGAAAAAGGAAGCCATTTTGGTCCTGGCGCCATTTTCTGTGACGCTGAGTCCCCGAGTTACGAGAACCTAACCTCAACTGAACTCGAACTCTTGACACTTTCTCGGATTCCTTACATTTCCTTATTGTTCTGATGGAATAATCAAGCCACGTTTGGTGCAAATCGGTTTGTCAGCTCTCGTGCCAGAAATGTACGTAACAGACAGAGAATTTCAGTTCAATACATACGATAAGATAAGGACGGAGCGTTTGTGTGCTGTGAGATTACAATGTTGGCTTCGTGTATTATAAATAATGCTTTACACATAAATCTGCAGTAATTCATTCTAATAACGTGTTATAAATAAACCTCTAGTGGGTCGTACTAATAATCCAACAAACATTGTTCAATTAATTATTTGCTCTCGACATTGACATTTCAATGTAATTCTTCAAAGCAAGAAGGACCTAAAATAATTATGTGGCTAATTGTTGACATGTATGAGGGACGACAACAATGCAAGTCACTAAACATTGCGAAAGAACAATTAATGTAGAATTCGAGTTGTTTCATGTAATCACATGCAATGCGTCGGATGACAGAAGATATGAATCGAGAAGAATATCAGAGTCGTCATTTGTTTTAATGCGCCATTTTTGCATTTGGAGTGACTGGGGAAAACTGTAAGTAGCTGTTACACCGACTGAGATTCGAACCTGCTACTTACGGACTCCTCCATGTGCACACGAACGACGATCCTCAGCTGTTAGCATTGCTACAGTGCTGCCCTCTCAGTGCATCGATGTGGCTAGTTAGTGCTGTTCTCACATCTGTATCTAATAGAATCTGAAAACAAGTTCACTCATTTTCACAGCCGACTGAATTGCTATAATAAATACTGGGGGGAAGCAAACACGTGTCTCTGGGCAAGTACCGAGCACGATCCGGCCAACTTGTGGTTACATTAGGCGACAATTCGCATTCTGATGTTCTGCTGCGATATTATGAAACAAAAAACCTTGATGTTAGCCGCTGATTAATCGTGTTTATATCACAGAAGTGTGGTTTTCAGGCCGGAAACGTTTTTGGGCTCTGGTCTCTGAGCCAGTATTAGGCGGACCGAGTTTAGGTGTGGTGAGGTTAGGTTAGGTTAGGTTGGGTTGGGTTAGGTTAGGTTAGGTTAGGTTGGGTTGGGTTGGGTTAGGTTGGGTTAGGTTAGGTTAGGTTAAGTTTGTTATGTGGATTTTGTTAGGTTAGGTAAAAATTTAAATTTTTTTTTGACGTTTTACTACTTACGGCTACAATTCGTCACGCTTTTACAGTACGTCACGTGTAGTCACGCCTAGTCACGCTTTATCACGCTGGAGCACGCTTGGTCAGGCTTAGACACACATTTCAAATCTTCGTCGTATTTTATCACTTATGGTGTCCTCTCGATGACGATAACAAACTGTATTATTATTGCATATTAAAGAAATGGAGGAAAATATCTTAACAACATTATATTTAAATTGATTAATAAAATTACTAAAAAAATTTAATGTGGGAAACGGCCTGATGATGGCAATAGCAGTGTCTGCCGAAACGTTAGATTATTCTTAACATTCGATGAAGCTCATCCTTGAAAGGCGTAGTCGTACGTCGAAATCTGGCCACAGAAACTTAAGGACAAGTGTATAATTGGAAGTTTGGGAATGGGCCAGCAGAATTGTTATTGTTAGAACAGGTGGCGTGCAGATGGAGAGATGTTAATAGAAATATGCATATCAGCTGTGAATCGCGAAGGGCAGATGTTTCGTGTACAAGAGCCTATCTAAAAAATATTTTATTTCATTTTAAGTAATAATAACAATGACATTAAAATCACAGGAGCTGACAGTTGAATCTGTAGTTCGTTCAACAAACGGACTAACAGATACAGCATCAATATGATTCGGTCTGGAGGAGAGCTCGTTTGAATATTTTCCCAGGACACGTGACCCCGTTATCGTTGGGCGTGCCGTGGCTTGGCTAAGGTCCAGTATGCGTGTTATTGACTTCTTGTGCGTAGGTACGGGCCTCCTCCTAGGTCCCTAAGCGAGCAACAATTCAAACAACCTGCTCGCAACGTTAAGATACAGACTGCTATTATAATGCAGATAAGACCACGGGGCGATTTTTAGTATCTACAGTGTCACAACCCTACGAAAAATTCCCAGTTTCCTGTGTAATTTGTCACGCCGAAATTATGTTTCATCCGACTGATGAAACATGTTATCAACATCAAGCCACTAGACACCACTTCAAGGCTTCTGTTATTAATTTATCACAAGTAATTACATCATATAATATCAAGTTACGATACTTTTGTGGTCATAGGTCTTCGAAGAGAAGGTGTGAGGTCTTGAATTTTAAAACAGGTTTTAAATTTTTAAAAACACGTAAACATTGTGTAGTCTGCAGTTTAAAAAAAAATTAAATTAATTAATCAATGGATCCATTACTGCAATTATGGAGTAACGCAGTGTCTGCAGTGTTACTGCAGAGAAATTCTACAAATGTTAGCATTTCTTATCAGTCTTTAGTAACAGCCCCTTCAACGATTTTCTCCACGACAAAATTTCCCTCCTTTTAGTTTTTTAGGTTAGGTTTTCCATTTCCAATAACGCGTTTCGTGCGCACGAATGGTGTAACCCAGCAAAGGACCAAGTCTTGCGCATGCGCACAACTCCTCCTTTCGTTCCCTTTTTGCCCGGTTGGGTTCGCGTTTGTAACGTTCTGTAGATTAGAATGCCAGAGTATCGGAAGGTACCAGAGCAATTTTACTCGATGCCTGCGATTTAAATTGGGATTTCGAGGCTCCGAAAACAACACGCGGACTTCATCCAAGTTCTTACTGCAGTGAAAACCTCAGGTTACTTTATTTCAAATTCTGGATGAAATTGACTTCACATGCAACGTATACAAACATGGCGGTAGTGAGAACGTTAGGGAGAGGTTATGTCTGACAAATGTAAGAGCTGAAATCTGTACTAATGGAAATCGTTCATAGGCAAAATTCTAAAACATGTGAAGGAGAATGAATTATAATTGATGAGTAGCTGTTTCTAAATACCGTATGTATAATTAATAATACCTTTCTTACTCAAAACAGCCGATTCATCCAAGTATCAGAGATTATAAGAGAACATCTTTTCGCAATTTGGTGGGAGGAAAACGTCAAGGTGGACCTTAGGAATCGATGGAACGAACTGGTTGCAGCTGGAGGTTTTTTTTAACACGGTGATGAACCTTTGGGTTCCATAGAGTGAACAAGCCGAGTACAGAGTCGAATTTCCAAATAATTTCCTGGACCATAGAGTGAGTGAATTGGGGTGGGAGATACGAAGACGCTGACTGTCTGCGTACGAAGTTACCCTTCATGGAAGTTTATTAAGGAACGCCAAGTTGATTGCAGTCAATACGTAATCACTGATTGACGACTTAATCTTATCATCACACTCCGGTTGTATGTTTGTTCCTGCGTGAAGAAATGCAAATACTCTGTACAATTTAGTGATCGAAGTTCAGAGTAAGGCTCTCGAACAGCCTGTGCCCTCATAAAATTCGCCTGCAATCTAAATTAGTGTTTTGGGAAGGTTTTCTTTGTTTCCGATTATCCGCTGACAAAAATCACAAATTTGCGTACCAACTTTAAATGTGTAATTTGAATATGAAACCTTTACAAAGATAACAGATAACTTCCTAAAATTATTCTTCTTTGCAAATTTCTGTGGTGTATCTTCCCATCTGCTATGTACAGGTAAAAAAGATTAAAATACAGTCTGTAATTTTACCTGGTGTGAAATTTTGGTTTGTTATATTAATCGTTCAAAGACCAATTAAATATTTAAAGAATCTGTAACACTCCATCCTATATTCACATTCTTTGCATGATTCTCACTGTAAGTATCGATTATTTCCTTAAACAGCGTTAACCAGTCGATCTTTGTAATGGTGAAGTGCTGTGTTTTCTTCGCGGTACGGACTGATTTCTTAAATATTATTTGAACGAGTCTCTGCTCTAAATGGTTAATTAATTATCAGAATAAATTATATTATTTCCTTAAACAGCGTTAACCAGTCGATCTTTGTAATGGTGAAGTGCTGTGTTTTCTTCGCGGTACGGACTGGATTATTAAATATTATTCAGATGAGCGCGCCGAAATTCAAGCTGTTGGATGAGATCGTAGTCACTTGGGCCTTCCAATAAATAAAAGAACGTGGATTTCTGCGTGAAGAGCAGTTTGGGTTCAGACCCAGACGCTGCAGCCAGCTTACAATTCAAAACGGGCGTCACCCGCCCTCCCCAATCATGGAGGCATTCTGAGTTCAAATCCTTGAGAGCCAATTAACCAAAATCCTTTGCACGAAGGACAAGTTGCCTTACGGGATAAGCTCCCATCAGCAGCAACAGACCCTAGTTTGTATAGTCGAGGCTACCGCCACGACTAAACCCCCGTTAACGTAAGCAAATTCCTCTTTTAGTTACAAGGCTCTTCATGAGATGGTAAAGTTGTGTCATATTGTGATATAATAAATATATATTAAATCTTGTCGGTCTAATCACAATAAATTCTTATTAAATATTAAAATATTACAATAATTAACATTTAAAATATTTAAAATATTAAATAATGTTCTTTATCGAAATATTCGATTTTACATTAGACCATCATGGTGGTTTCCTTCACGACATGGCCGATGTTCCAATTGTGAATTGAAGTCCACTTGCTACTCCCACGTAATGCGAATCTTTAAAAAGGAGTCGAACGGGTTAAGTCAGGTGACCATGGTGGCCATGTAATCGAACCACCACGGCGAGTCGATTTTTAAGGCTAATGACTACTGGAAAAACAAACACGCCTCACTAAATTTAAACGCGAGAAAAGAAAAATGTTTCACACATTAACACAAGTTACACGTACGTGGCTCTAATGACATTTAAGTACAAGTGTTCTGAAGTTTTCACGTGTGTTTCTAATTATTATCTGGAGGCTTCCCGAGGATGCGCTGAGGTTTCGTTGCTAAAGATGGCGCAAACAGAGCATAGTTTGATAGAAACCAGTCATGAGATGATAATGTTGCGTCATATTGTGTTGAATATATACTTGTTCAATTTTTATCAGTCTAATCACAATAAAATATTATTATTAAATATTAAAATATTTAAATATTATTACAATTAACATTTAAATATTTTTGATGGACATCTGACGAAGGATTGCACTTAGGATATTACATTTGAGTTTATATGGATTATACACCTGAAGATGGTTCATTTAGAACCGAAACATGTAGTGTAAAAGATGATGCTCTAATGTAAATCGAACATTTCGATAGAGAGCATCATTTTAATATATTTTAAATATTTAAATGTTAATTATAATAATATTTTAATATTTAATAATAATATTTTATTGTGATTAGACTGATAAAAATTGAACAAGAAACCAGTGAGTACGGTGATTTGTGGAGGGTAGATGACCGGGGTTCGATTCTCGTCAGAGGAAAACATTTCAATTAATTTTATCTCAGCCTCTGCGTTCAGACCGGATCTCAGGACCACCCAGAAAATTAATTCTGGGGAACTATTCAATATTTCGGGCATAATTTTTATCTGCTTGGTTCCTGTAGAAGTGCCAAATATTGGTCCACGCGAAGACGCATCTGGAATCATTTGGGGACGTTGCGTTATCAGGCCGCGTAATCCTGACTCTCTTTTATCTCGACATTATCTTATCAGCGTTCGTCATCCCACACATTCCTGTGTAACTGGGACACTCGTGCGTGAAAGGCCAAGGATCGAGCCAGTCTCAATCCGTGAG